GCCGTCCATCGTAGCATGGCACTGGGTCACGGCCATTGGCGTTTGGGTGGCGTGAATCATGGATATGGTTTTCAGACTTTTAAAGGGTTTCATCTTTCGGAGCTGGAGTGATAGCACAGCGGGGAGGGTGCTTGCCTTGCATGTGGCCGACCCGGGTTCGATTCCCAGCATCCCATATGGTCCCCCAAGCACCGCCAGGAGTAACTCCTGAGTGCAGAGCCAGGAGTAACCCCTGAGCATCGCTGGGTGTGACCCAAAAAGCAAAAAAAAAAATGTTTTCATCTTTCAGTTTGGAGGCAGGAGACTCAGCCCAACGCAGCAGAACAGAGCGGCCAGACATCTTTTCTTTCTTTCTTTCTTTCTTTCTTTCTTTCTTTCTTTCTTCCTTTCCTTCCTTCCTTCTTTCTTTCTTTCTTTCTTTCTTTCTTTCTTTTTTTTAAACTTTGTTTTATTTAATTGTAGCAAGCACCTACGATGAGACAGTTAAGCTGAACTGTTTATTTAATTGAGTCACAGTTACAAAGTTGTTCATGATTTTTGGTCACATCATGTTCCAACACCGGAAATCAGTATTTTCATCCTTCAGCATGTGGGTTAAAATTGCTGGATTTATTCCTTATATGGAGCTTGAGCTGAGATCCTAGAACTCTTGTGTGTGTGTGTGTGTGTGTGTCTTGTATGCGGCCGACCCTGGTTTGATTCCTCTGACCCTCTCCGAGAGCCCGGCAAGCTACCGAGAGTATCTCTTCCGCACAGCAAAACCTGGCAAGCTCCCCGTGACATATTCAATATGCCAAAAACAGTAACAACAAGTCTCACAATTGTGAGACGTTACTGGTGCCCGCTCGAGCAAATCAATGAACAACCGGAGGACAGTGTTACAGTGCTTTTTGTGTCACACCCAGCGATGCTCAGGGGTTACTCCTGACTCTGCACTCAAGATTTCACTCCTGGCGGTGCTCAGGGGACCATATGGAATGCTGGGAATTGAACCCGGGTTGGCCGCATGCAAGGCAACTGCCCTACCCACTGTGCTATCGCTCCAGCCCCCAGACATCATTTATTTATTTATGTATTTGTTTGTTTTGCCTACGGCCGCATCTTTGTTTCTCCCAGCAGGACAAATTCTGCTACCCATGATCGCCAATCCCAGGGAGAGGGAGAAAAGTGATTTGGGGGGGTTGGTGCTCAGGGCTGACTTCTGACTTAGTTGCTCAAGAATCACTCCTGGCAGTGCTCGGGGAACAAATTCACTCATGGCGGGCGTGGGGGCGGGGTGCACGGGGACGTGTGCAAGGCAAATGCCCTCCCCACTGTCCTGTCTCTCCAACCCCCCACGAGCAATTTTTTGGTTTGTCTTTCAGGGACTTGAACGTCCCTGAAAAAACGGGCCTGGTGAGATGCGGGTGATCAGGGCCCAGGGCAAGCACCCCCGACTGGCACCGTGGAAGCAAGGCAGGGGACCAGCGGGAAAGAGTTCCCAGACCCCAAGCCTCGGTCTTTTGTGCTTCCCCCGTGCCCCTTCCCAAGAGCGACTGTCTGTGTTGCTGGCGCCCACCCGAAGCCCAGAATCCAGCTCTCTCGGTGGCTACTTTTGCACTGCAGTTGCAAACACACAGCCCTGTCATCAGAGCACTCAGCTCCTCCTGGGGGACTTGTGCAGTGCTCGCAGGGGCCATGGAGCAGGCTTGGATCGAGGAAAAGAAGTCAAGGCACAGGGTGGGCACTGGCTCTCAGAGGCAGCCGGGACCCCCCAGTTCCCTCCACGCTCACGAGCCTTACTCTGCGACACTCGGGGAGCACGGGTACCCCACTCACGCAGCCCCGAGTCCACAGTGGGGGAGTTGGTGAGGATGTGGACTTATGAAAGGCATATGCCCCGACGTCCGCAGGACCCCCCCCCCGCATCCCCCTCCTCCCCCTCACTCTGAGCCCCAGAAGCCCAGACAGAGAGGAGGCGGGTGGGGGCCCTCCTGTGATTCATCTGGCTGGAATGTGGGAGTCCTCCAACTGTGCCCGCTAAAGCCTTTTAATTCCCCTTGGGTGATGAATGGGTGAGGCCCTGGGATGAAGCGGCCAGGCTCTGCGTCCCCGCCGCACCCCAACCCCCACTCCTGGCCTCCCTCCGCATCCTGATTCCTGTGCAGAACACGTCAAGTGCCCCCTCGTCCCCGGGAACTCGTTTCGCATGCAAACATTCGGTGATTAAGCGAGGCTTACTTAATTAAGCACTTTGTAATGACTCTTAAACCAAAGAAGGGTGGATTAGGAGTCCGCTGTGCACGGCCGAGGTGAGGGGCCCTCCGGGAGCAGGGCCTGGAGCCTCTCACGGCTCCAGCCCCGGGGTTGGTTGGAAGCAGCGTGGGGAGGAGCTCCGGGAACTGGGATAGAATCATTCCTTCCCTCCCCCATCCAGCGCAGGACCCAGGGTCGGGAGAAGAGGGAGTCCCAGGATGGCTCTGCCTGGCACGGGGCTGAGAAGCCTGGTGAGTAGCACAATGGTGGAGGAGGAGGAACAGAGCCCGTGACTGAGTCGGCTCAAGCAGGTTTCCATGGAGCAGAACAATAACAACACCAGCCCAGGTGGCCGCAAAGTCCCCCGGAGCTCAGCTCTGAGAGCTTCCAGTCTTCCTGATGCATCTGCTTCTTCCCTGGATCCTCAGAGGTAGCTACCACTGGGCATTGTGCCCATTTTACAGATGGGAACACTGAGGCATGCCCATGGTCAGCGGTCCAGCCAGCTCAGAGGCCAGTTGGCAGAGGCCAGTTGGACTGCTGAACTTCAAATATTGAGCTGTCCCCCAGACCTTATTCTGTGCTAATCACAGCACATCCCTGCCCCCGCCCCGTGAATCAGGATTGCCTGTGCCCATTGCCAGGGGCCCAGTTCCTGAGCACGAATGGATGGCGGAGAGGGTCGGAGCAGAGGGCACCCAGTAGCCGCCTCTGCAGCCCCCATGCTCCCCTCTGAGCCGAGCTCTAGCCAACGTGGTGGCAGGCTCTACTTGCTTCTTGGCTGTGTGGTCCAAACCCCACTGAGCACGGCAGTGAGCTTCAGGGCATCTCCCGCCTGATTTTGTTCTGGCCCTCCTGCCCCGGGAACGGGCTACATTTTTTGTTTTGTTTTAAATTGAGTCACTGTGAGACACACAGTTCTCTTCATGGTCAGGTTTCAGTGCTACAGTGTTCCAACACCCAACCCTCTACCAGTGCACATTTCCCACCACCAATGTCCCCAGGTTCCCTCTCTCTCTCTCTCTCTCTCTCTCTTCTCCCACTCTCCCCCCCCCCCTCCTTTTGGGCATTCACGGTCACAGTCACAGTCCTCCCGTTGTTCATCCATTTGCTCTAGCGGGCCCAGAAACATCTCCATCGTGAGACTTGTTACTGTGTGTAGCATATCGAATACGTCACAGGGAGCTTGCCAGGCTTTGCTGTGCGGGCAAGGTACTCTCGGTAGCTTGCCAGGCTCTCCGAGAGGGGCGGAGGAATCGAACCTGAGCCGACCAGGTTGGCCGTGTGCAAGGCAAACGCCCTTCCCACTGTGCTATCACTCCAGCCCCTTTTGGGCATCATGGTTTGCAATACAGGTACTGAGCGGTTATCATGTTTGTTCGTTACCTCCTTCCAGGACTCAGTTCTTGTCCAGAGTGGTCATTTCCAACCATCTTTGTCATCGTGGTCCCTTCTCGATCCCAGCTGCCCCCTCCCCCAGCGCTTGAGGCAGGCTTCCAACCATGGACCAATCCTCCTGGCCCTTGTTTCTACTGCCCTTGGGTATTGATCTCATAGTGTGTTTGTTTCTATCCCACTGGGCTGGATTTGGACCCTTGCTTCAGAAACCATTCACCTCTGTGGCTGTCTTCCCAACTCAATAGTTTCTGACCTGCTGTGACTTAATTTCCCCATCTGCTCAGCGGACACTTGGATCTGGAGCCTTATCTGAATCTGGGCACTAAAGAAGGGCCTTTAGAATCTGTAGTGTTCCCTCCATTTGGGGGGGTTCCATTTGGCACTCGATGGCATTGACCATCAGACTCAGTAGGGCAGAAGGCTGCCCAGTCCTGCACAGCCCTGCAGAGCCCTGAGCCAGAGCAAGGCAGAGCCTCCATTTTGTCTTCATATGCTGTGTGATCTTCGCAGAACGGCTTGCCCTCTCTGGGCCTTCTTTTCCCCATTGAGGTTCCTGTAAATGGGAGCTATGTCTACAGACTCATGGACTGCAGGGCCTTTAAATGTCATCCATCCAGAGACAGCTGCCACAGCTCCCAAAGTTGAACCCACAAATAAATCCCAGTGTCCTTCATTTCTACTTATCTTGGTTTTCTCATGTAACCTGGAAAAAGACAAAAACATTTTTTTAATGAGTGCAGTATATCTTTAATACAAATACATCTATGATGAAGTTTAATTCACAAATTAGCCACAATAAGAGGTCAACAGCAGCTATTAATAAAATGAAACACTATAATATCTGTGGTTTAAAGCATCTATTGGAACTTTGGCGATTGTCTCCTGACTCCTGTAACCAGAACCAGATCTTCGACATCCAGTGTGCTTGCTAAAATTTTTTTGTTGTTCTTCTTTATCACAAAGACTGTACTAGAAAGTACAGCATTCTAGGTATTTTAATTTTCTTTTCCCTTCTATGTAGCATATTAATCCTTATTCTTATCAATTGGGAATCTTATTTGTTTTTTGTTTTTAAAATAAAAACATTCTTATAACCGGAGTGACCATTTCATCACAGAGGACATCAACACCACTGCAGTGACCGGGCTGGAAAGTGCCTTTGCCCCTGTGAGCCTGCTGAGTGAACCCCCAAATCCTTGCAGCGTGAAGTCCAGGCTCTGCACTCAGGAATTACTCCTGGCGGTGCTCAGGGGACCATATGGGATGCTGGGGATCGAACCTGGGTTGGTCGCATGCAAGGCAAATGCCCGACCTGCTGTGCTATCACTCCAGCCCCACTGGTTCTTCTCTTAATACTTAATCCCCAGAGGGGGTGCACCATTCCTGGAGGTACTGCAATACCAGATCGATGCGTGGACCCCATGGAGAAAGCTCCTATTCCAACTCCCAGCTCCCAAAACCCATTTAATATATTGTTCTTGGATCGAAGACGTATCTGATATTAAACTGACAGGAACGGATTCTACACTTGATCCTAGCCAAAAGGTCGAGAAACGATCAGGTGGTGGGTTTACGGGCGTTTGAAGACAAAGTTGTGTGGGATGATGCACCATGAGACTGACAAGGCCCCGGGGCCAACAACATCCTCCACCAATCTGCACACGTGTGGGTGTGTCCCTGATGCCCCTTCAGCACCAGCCGGCACACGGCCTCTGCAGGCCTCCAGAATGTCCAGAGATAAAGGCTCTGGCCATCACCGTTCACTTAATGGCAGTTTCAAGTGCCCGCTTAGTGCAAAGTCAACCACCTTGTCATGGCTCCCAGGGATGGAGCACGGAAGAGCAGGGCACGGCTTTAACGATGGTGTTCACTCTGCTCCCTGCGCAGATTGGCGAGGGCTTGTCTTTGGACAGGCCACTTGGAAGGACAGAACATTCTCTGCTTTGCCAAGAACCGGTTAGGGAACAGACTCTGAGAGGGGAACCCCACCCTCGGAACTAAACAAAACCCACTCCCCCTTCATCCCAGGACACAGGCCCCTTTATTTTACTTCAGGTGTCATTCTCCTCCGTGAGAAGGTGTTATTTCCACACCTACTTTTTTTTTCCTTCCAAAAACAAGGACAATACCTTTTCCTTTTATTTTAATTAAACCATCATGAGATACAGAGTTACAAAGTTGTTCATGGTGTGTTTCAGTCATACGATGTTCCAACACCCATCCCATCAGCAGTGAACTTTTCCCTCCACCAATGGCCCCAGTTTCCCTCCCCATCCCTGGCCTGCATCTATGGCAAACACTTTACTTCTCTCTCTCTCTCTCTCTCTCTCTCTCTCTCTCTCTCTCTCTCTCATTCTCTTTGCCCCCCCCCCCCCTTTTAGGCACTGTGGTTTACAATACTGTTACTGAAAGGGTATCATGCATATAACTTTACCTCCTTTCAGAACTCAGTTGTTGTCCAAAGTGGTCATTTTTAAATTTATTTTTTTATTAGTGAAACACCATGAGGCACAGTGGTAGACTTACAAATTTTTGTGCTTGGGTTTCAGTTATACAATGATCGAGTACCCATCCCTCCACCAGCGCCCATCCTCCACCACCACGGGTCCCAGCATCCCTCCCAACCTACCTCTGTGGCAGGGCATTCCCCTTTGTTCTCTCTCTCCTTTTGGGCATTGTGGTTTGCAAAAGAGGAATTGAGTGGCAATCATATTTGGTCTATAGTCTACTTTCAGCATGCTTCTCCCACCCTGGGAGGAGCCTCCCAACACCCTTTATTTGGTGCTCTCTTCTCTGTCTGAGCTTCCTTTTCCCCTAGCATGTGTGGCTGGCCTCCAAGTCATGGAGCAAAATTCCTGGTACTAATCTCAGCCACTCCGAGAGTGGTCATTTTTAATTCTCATTTTCATAGTGGTCCCTTCTTTAACTGCACTCCCCCCAACTTGTGGTAAGCTTCCTACCATGTACTGGTCTACCTGACCTTCATTTCTACTGCCTTTGGGTATCCACACCTACTTTCACGTAGAGTTTTTCAATGCAATAGAAGCTGAAGTTGCTAGGTGCGGTTTTCTTGAGGAAAAGTTCCAGAAGAACTCACTTTGCTGGTAGGCGTGTAGTTGTCCTCTTGGCTCCTTCCAGGGATCATGGGTGCAACAGATGGAGCCCCAGCAGCTCGATCAAGACCATGAGACATCTTGAAACTGAGGGCTCCATACTCAAGACGCTCGGGCAGGGAAATTAGATAGTTTTTGGTTGGTCCGGCACCGGAGAACACTAACATTTGAATGAATTAAGATGATCATTTTGAGTTTCTCTCTTAGTCCTCATTGCCATTTCTGACATGGAGTTCCTGTATAAAAATCTTAGTTTGCTGCTATTCATATGACACCCAGCCTGGGAGGGTTAGGTTGAAGGAAAGCACATTTTCTGCTCCGATTAAATCCACACCAATAATGGACATTTTATGGTTTCATGGTGATTTTTAGAATTACAAAGTGAAGGGGCCTTAGACGGAAAGGAATCACGTTTATGAGGTGATTTACATTTAAAGTCGATTTTAAAATGAACAAATTTAAATAAATATTGGGGATCTCTTCCCCATCCGTCTTCAAGAGTCCCATCTAGCGTTCTAGTTTCCCCAGCCCTGGGCTGGGACTACACGGGCGGCTGTGGCCAGGCAAGAACCATCCTCCCTCCCTCCATCCCCAGTGATGAGTGCAGGGTCAAGTGGGAGGACCAGGTGGGAGGACCCTGCGGCAGGACCAGCATGTTCAGGAGGCAGAGCAGAAGAGCCCAAGCTGAGAAACCAGGGCTTGGGCAGGGAACCGGAAAAATGTTCCCTGGAGACTTGCAGAACTTTCCCCACCAGGACGAGCTCCAGCGGCATTTGTTCTCTCTGCGTTTCCTGGCCCAGAGTGCAGTCAGCCAGCAGAAGCTCTGGAATGCCTTGCGAGGGTCTGTTTTCATCACTGCCCCATGCACCCCTCCACCACCACCAGTGCTGGCTAGAGAAACAGGGGCTCCCCAGGGAGCCCCCCTGATGAGGTTTCCAGCTGGGGTCGGTGGAGCTGTCGAGGATGGAGGAATCTATCCCCTGTCAGGCGAGGGCCCGGGTTCCCCTGGGAGGTGTGTGTGTGAGAGGGGAGTCCTTGTCTTGACCTGGGAGCCCTCAGTGTTTTCATCTGAGAAATGTGACGACAGAGCGACCAAGAAGCATCTGTAGGTTGTGGACCCTAACCTATGTCCACACGCATTAGTTCAGATGGGACCTTTCTCTTTCTGCCTGTGGGATGGTGAGTCAGTTTCTGGCTGCTAATGGCAGGCCCCAGGTAGCTGGTGCTGTGGTCAGACCCGGAGGAATCCGAGCTATCCAGGGCCTGGGGGAGCCTGGGTGGATCAGAGTTGGGGCCAGGGCTGATCACTGCAGCAAGCTCAGAGCTGCCAGACTGGGCCACAGAGAGAGAGAGAGAGTCACGCCAAACCAGCCTTGGTTTAGTGCTGAGAGTGTTTGTTTCAGCGGGCTCTGAGTGTGTGGGGCTGTGGACAGACCTTATGGGGACTTGTAAACAAGGATAAGCTGCAACTTGTTCCCCCCTAGCCGCCAAGGTCAAAGGTGAGCACAGCACCCTTTATGCCGCCCGAAGTCGAAGGTGCACATGGCACCTTTTGTGCCAAGGCTTACCGCTAACACTGAGTGTTTGTTAAGTCCCAGCTGCTTAGAAGAGAATGTTTCTCTCTATGGCCAGGGCGAGTCCAGCCAGGCATTAGCCAGCAAGCCCCTGTGTGGTCCTGCCGGGGATGGGACTCGGGCACTTACTTCTCCTCCTCCTCCTCCTTCCTCCTAGACTCGGAACCTCTGGAGGGCAGGACTGCCTGGCACCACGCATAGTCTCTTGTGACTTGATCCTTATTGCAGAAATTACCAGAGGCATGAACACGAGCCGGCCACCCACTGGGTCTGATGCAAGCCACAGCCTGCCCTTCCAGATGGCCCCTGGACGAGGTGTGTGGGTCCAGCCTCACCCTTCCTCTGGCTCTCAACCTCTGCTCCAGTCAAGACATCAGAGAGGAGAACCATGCCTCAGTTTTCTGTTCTGCCCTGTAACAATCATGGAACCTACTGGGAGATAAGGGGGTTTAATCAGATGCACCTACAGAGCTCAAGGCATCAAAGGATTGGCAGAGCGTTCCTGTTTGGGTGCCAGTGGGTACGAGGCACCGGAGAATAGATGGTAGCTGATTTCCGGTGAGTGTTGCCCACCCCCCCCCCCCCCAGCCGTGGTCTTTGCTCCAGTCGTCTGGAGCTCTCTGGGCAGCCCCGGGGCCCACTGCCCCTCCTCAACTCAAGCTTCTGTCACTGAGACACTGGATCTCAGGTTTGGCTCTCAGAAGGTGGCTCGGAGGCCACCAAGGCTCAAACCACCGCCATGAGAAGATGCGGTGCTCAGCTGTGGTGAGGATTCCATCCATCACTCCCCAAAGAAGCTCGAACAATGCAGCTTGGCTGTGCCCACCTGCATGTCTGGCGTCACTGTGCCACAGCTCACGTGATCCTCAAGGGCAGACAGGAGGACCTTCTATGGGGACTCCATGTGCCCCCTTCCAAGTCAGGCTCCAGGAGCCCTAAGTGATGGAGAGTGAATCCAAATGCAGCCACAGTGAGCTAAATTGTTTCATTCCCAGCCAAAGCACTTCGGACTCCGGGGCCTTTAGTCCAAGTTGGCAACAGCCGACGGACAAACCTGGGATTTGAAGGGCAGCATCTCTGCGCTTGCAGAAACCCACCTCCGACTCTCTCCTGTCACTCCCTGGGACTGTCCCTCCAGGGTAGGCACCCTGGGGAAACTGACTCACTCAGCAGCCGCACACCAGCCTCCTCTGTGGATGAAATGACATCCCCCCCGCCTCCAGGGACCAGCCCCTTCATTTGTTGGGCTGCGCTCAAAGCCCAGCTCCGTGGTGAGCGCTCATTTCCAAGTCTGCAGTGACTCAGAGTCCCTGGAGGCCAGACACACCCCTGAAAGGTTTCCAGGCTGAGGGGCCAGAGCATTTTGCAGCAGCCACTGGGAAGCAAGGGGAGGGGCGGGGGTAGCTTTGAAAGGTGAGGAAGGTGTGGGGCAATTGCCCCCCCCCCCCCCCGCTGGACATAAATTTGCTTTCCCAGTGATTCCTATTTTGCATCTTTGGCAAAAGATTTGCCTGCCTGTCTCCTGCATTATTCACATAGCATTCCTCCCCTCCTCCTGATTAGCTAGGCCTTCTTCGGCTCATTTATTTATGTATTTATTTCTGTATTGATCGGCCGCTTCCTAGGAAGAGTTCTCTACAGAACCCTGGTCTGAAGAGCAGAGGCCAGGAGGGGCTTTGTCCTGGCCAGCCCAGCAGAGCATTCTAGCACTTCGTGGATCATTTCCCAGCATGCAAAGGGGCTGGGAACACACAGGTGGTCACGCTACCAGGGGTCTCCGAGCATAGCTGCAGGTACAGTTTGCTGCCTGGGAAAATGTGCCTGCTAGAATGTTAAGTGGAAAACCAGACTGTATCCTTTCTGGTGGCGCC